GCCTGGGTACATCGAATATAGTACCGAGATCGGGGCCAAGCTTACCAAACGAGAGTCTCAATGGCCCAGAGAACCCAGCCAAAGACATTGATCTTTTTGCTGGAGAGGCAAACCGGTTAAAGAACTTTCAGCATAATGACAGTGGGCAAAAGTGCTTATTAAGCATGCCCTGCTAAAACATATATCAGCGAGCATCTATCACTCCGAGAACCAACACATATAACTCGTACAGCGAAATTCTTTTGGACTTTGGACGCATGAAGATGAAATTTCTTTTTGGCCCGATGAATATGCGTGTGTCCGCTGTTGTGGGTGTGACCCATACAGCCAATAGATATGTATCTCCTCACTTACGATTACTTCTAAGAGAATCAGAGCACGGTGATAAGATACGGGCTCTATTGCAATATGGGAATGTGGCCAGACCCCTCGCTCCTGCTTGATAAACGCAGCAGCTTTTATTTGTTTTCTAATCGAACTAAACCATTTATTTACTTTGCTTTTAGCCACTCGGGGTAGCCAATCTCCCAGCTGTTACTTTATACCAGGGGCAAGGTGCAAAGTTATCAATTAGCAGTTTAGAACTGCATTTTTGCTGTCTATTTACATAGACGTAGGCCCTTGACTCCACAAGTACCTTCGGGCTATATTTTCTTACCACCAGCCAGCGCTAATTAATGTCATGACACATTCTAAATGGAATTACATATCCAAGTATTTAGCGCATTAAGTTGCTGACCCTGCAAAACATGTAAAAATGCGATTGCAACAGTATTTCTCCGCGCTTCCGCATTGTCCGACAGGTGAAACTTTCTTGATTGACTGACATATGCGACACCACCGCACTCCAAATCGAACTAAGCTTCGCGAAATGCCTTTGGTAGAGGCAACCTTACTATTTGATGTTTAATTTCGAAACAATGTTTTCCCTTATGTTTTTCAAAGGAGCAAATGCTCACGAATTAATCTTTACCTCGGCAATTCTTCATCATTATTAAATTAAAAATGTAATTTTTCAATAAATAAATAAATTCAATTCGAATTGTATTAATTTGCCTAGGATAAGAAAAATAAACGTGTCCCTCTTCAATTTTAAAAGTACGGAATATATGTATGTATACCGATCCCCCTTGAAAAGGGCTGCGCCGACCCTGTGTGCTGGGCTCTCGCTGTCCGCTCTCTCTTAGCGTCCACCAGAGCCCTCACGTGTGAACTCTTTGACTCTCTGGCATCTCTTAGTTGGCTGTTGCTTCCGCACAGGTTCTCTTCGGTACCGCCAGCGAATGGGTGCGGCGGGAAGCAGATCCAGGAGACGACTCTGCCGCCACTTTTTTAATTAAACCCATGAACCTACTGGAAATGGCGATGATGACTAATATCACCAGAATCGGATGTCGGAGGTGAAGTGACTGAAATGTTCCTCTATGCCTGTGGCACACTCACCTGGTTTTCGGGAAAGATGAGTAGTAGACAGATGAAGCTCCAATTAGAAGAGGAATTCGAAATGTACACACACCAATGCATACGTGCACGGTCAGTAAGCACTCGCGAAAGAGAACAAGTTTGGCCCGCGCTTTTGGAATTAAACAATCGACCTTTTTTGGGTTTGGACTGGATGCCGATACTACGATACTTCGATATTACTTCGCTGTGGATGCGATGGCACGACACAACAGCAACAATAACGATGTTTCACTAAATTAGCTCGCACAGGCACACACACACACGCACTGCATCGAAAATTATCGCACAAAAAATATATCCGACAACAAAACGCAACGGACTTCACCATGCAGAAAATGTGCTTTAAATACAAAAAAAATATGTTGCTTTCCTAAAACAATATATACTTTTTAGTCAACTAGCCATATTTTTGGGTTTCAGTGAGTGAAATCGTGCAATAACAAAGAGCGCGTTTTGCGAGTTGCTTAAATAGATTTTTTTACTGCTCTCTCAAGTTCGAACGCGTTCCAACGTGTTTGAGGAGAGAGAACTCGTGCTCTTACTTCCTATAGTTTCTACATTTGACAACATTTATTTCTTTTCCTTTTCGGCCGTATTGGCGCTAGTACAAGAAAGAGGTTAAAAGCATTATTTTTCTAACCGAACGGTTGGAGATACCTTGTATTATTGTCGCTAGCCTCGATTTTACGCTGCTCTTCAACCGCTCTCTCAATTTCAAACGTGTTTGATTGGGTTCGACGCAACGCCGGTGAAATACGTTTTGCTACCGACCTCGGTTTTGGTTCTGGCCATATGTAGGTTTGAGCCCAGAATATTACTAGTCAAATAAAGGATATACTTCCTAGGAAAGGAAGTGAAGTATTTTTTTGTCTATTGCCTAACAGCTGATAGTTGGACGACTTATGGCTATAACCACATACTAAACAAGTTGAAGCGCTATAGTCGAGTGCCGCGACTATAAGATAACCGTTACTGTTTTACTAAATTTTAAAATATTCATTCAAAAAATTCATTCATAAAATTCCCAAAGCGCCACTTATTGTCGGAGGAAACATGTTGAGAAACTGACAGTGACGTTACTGCCCATGTGAGGCCTTATAACTTAAATTTCTTTATAAATAGCAAAATAATGTTCCGATTTGCAAAATCTTTGGTAATAGAGATATTGACGAAAATATGTTATACAAGGTCAAACGAAGACATTTAATATAATATTATGGACGCCACAGTTTTGCCGGATGAAAACTCCTGGAAAGTTGTAGTGGCATATTCTAAATATGTATTCTTACGCACAATTTTCTAGCTCTTATAGTTCCCGGGATTTTCACATTCTTGGTTTTTCGAGTTTTGTGGGCGTTAGAGTAGGCGTGGATTGATCAGAAAAAACAATTCGCATAAGGGGCATCATAAAAACATACATGTTTAATCTGAACTTTCTAGCATTAATAGTTACCGAGATATCACCTTTTCTAGAAAATCCAAAAACCGTCTTTTGAGCTTGGTGGGCGTAAGAGTGGGTATGGCCGGATAATGATAAGATGCGCTGGCATCTCAAGATTGTACATGCTGAATTTCAACTTTCTAGCTCTAATAGTTCCTGAGATTTCAGCGATTTTAGTTTTTCGCCAGAAATAAACTGGCGCTGCGTATAGACCTCAAGAATCTTCATGCTTAACCTCAACCTTGTCTCTTTTAAGGACGAGACAACGACTTCGCTATTGATCCTGATCAAGAATATATATGTATACATTATAGGGTCAGAAACGCATCCTTCTACCTTTTAAAATTGCAATGTACAGACGCGACACACACACAGCATTTATCTAGATATAGAAGTGGTTCATTTGATGTGATTGTGATAAACTAGTTCTTATTGTATTGTTTCCAGGTTGGATTTTTTATTGGAATTCCATTCCTAAGGAGGTGAAGTATCAATCAATTAGATTTAAATGGGTTTCATCGTTTGAATATAAAAACAAGAGGAAACGCTATAGTCGAGTGCCACGACTATAAGATACCCGTTACCGTTTTACAAAATTTTAAAATATTATTTTGCTAGTGCAAATTCACGAGGCGCGACCTATTGTCAGAGGAAGTATGTTGAGTATGCTTATAGTGACGTCACTGCCCATGTGAGGCCTTAAAACCTTAATTTCTTTATAAATAGAGAAATAATGTTCCGATTTGAAAAATCCTTTGGCAAATCGATAGATATTAACAGAAATAAGTTGTACAAAGTCAATCGAAGGCATTCATAATAATAGTATAGACGCCACAGTTCTCCGCGGTTTGTGGGCGTTAGAGTGGGCGTGGCCAGATGCAACTTCGTGGAAAGTTGCAGAAGCATCTCTTAAATGCGTGTTTTTATTCAAAGTTTTGTAGCTTTTATAGTTTTTGAGGTTTATGCATTTTTGGTTTTTCGGGTTTTGTGGGCGTTAGAGTGGGCGTTGCTTGATCGGAAAAAAACAATTCGCATTGGGAGCATCATAGAAACCCACATGCCTTATCCGAACTTTCTATCTCTTATAGTTACCGAGATATCAGCTTTTCTAGAAAATCCGAAAGCCCTTGTGGGCGTATGGGTGGGTGTGGCCGGATAGTGTTACCACTATAAGATGCGCTGCCATCTACAGATTATACTTTTTGAATTTCAAGTTTCTAACTGCAATAGTTCCTGAGATTTCAGCAATTTTAGTTTATTACGATTTGTGGGCGTTAGAGTGGGCGTAGCAGGATGCTGTAATAAACTTGCGCTGTCCCGGGACCTCAAGAATCTTCATGCTTAATCTCAACTTTGTATATGCTATAGTTCCTGAGATCTCAGCGTTCATACGGACGGACGGACGGACGGACGGACGGACAGACGGACATGGCTCAATCGACTTCGCTATTGATCCTGATGAAGAATATATATATTTTATAGGGTCGCAAACGCTTCCTGCTATCTGTTACATACTTTTCAACGAATCTAGTATACCCTTTTACTCTACGAGTAACGGGTATAACAAGAGGAAACGCTATAGTCGAATGCGCCACCTATTGTCAGAGAAAGCATTTTGAGTAACTGATCGTGATTTGTGGGCGTTATAGTGTATCTGTTATAGTTCCTGAGATCTAAGCGTTGATACGGACGGACGGACAAAAGGACATGGCTCAATCGACTTCGCTATTAATCCTGATCAAGAATATATATTTACTTTATAGGGTCGGAAGCACTTCCTTCTGTTTGTTACATACTTTTCAAGGAATCTAGTATACCCTTTTACTCTACGAGAAACGGATATAATAAGCTTTGGTATTGTATTTAGTTGAAGAAAGGCCTTCGATAATAATAAGATGTTTGCTGAGATTATCTTTTAGTTAACTGTTGTCGTCGAGTTAGTCAATAAACCACAAAAAAATTTATAATCTTCGGCATGTAAGATCATAGTTTTGTTCTACATGTTTTGCCTATTAAATTTAGAATTCTCAAACCCTTGAAGGTAGTTTGTATTTTTCTTAGTAATTAAATAGCTTGCTTTGGAAAGAATGCCACATTCACTATTAAATTCATATTCACTATATATTTCATATGGATCCGGAAAACTTAGAGGTGGGACGCAATGATGACGAATCCCAGGATTCTGAAACAACAATCCTCAGCTCTGTTAGCATCAAGCAACAGGATGACCCTCAATTTAAGCGGGAGGTCGAGCAGGCCATATGCATCATGCCGCCTCGACCAGGAACAGCTGTGATGAACTATCAGGAGCTTTACATTCCAAGAAACCAGCTTACCGACATATATTACCCCATTCAGGAGGCGCAGCGCTGGCTCACATTGATGGACAAGATGGGGAAGCCACATCGATTTCCGCTGCCCACGATTCTGCCAAAAGTGATCCAGACTCGCTACGTGCCAAAGCGACATCTTCCCAAGGATGTCGAAGTGGACCGCAGGCGTCGACAGTACCAGAAAATCAACCTGGTGGAGGAGCTAGATAAAGCGGGACTCACTGACGACGTACTTCAGCCTACAGAGGAGCAGTACAATGTAATGTCCGAATTTGCCTTTCCGCACAAGTTTCCCCTTAGCTACTTTGACGACAGCAACTTTGACATAAACTCCCCGGCGGCTTGGTTTGACCTTGGAGTGGTCGGCGATACTCACTACCCGCTTCCGGCAAAGGCATACCTCCCATATAACCAGAGCCTCCTTAATTGTCAGTGGGGCATGGCAGCTGTTACTGCGCATCACGAGGACTCTGACCTCTGGACGCTTCTGTCGTTGGAGGACGGATGCACCTACACGGTGCCCAAGCTTCAATTCATGTTCATGGCCGAAGACCCTCATAAGTACATAAAGCGGCTTCAGGCCGCCGTTCATGAGCGGCACAAGGGTGAGCAGCTGATGTTGATGGAGCTTATTGTGGACTGTGTCCTTCATGAGGACATTGAGTCCACTGTGTTCTACAGCTTCAAGCCCATCGAAGCGGTGCTTTTGGGGGCCAAGGTTTCTGAGCAGTGCAAGCGGCGATTGCGTTCGGAAGTTAACTTGGTGTTTGAGCGTCTGATGGCTCTCTACGAATTGGAGCAGTTTATTCTGAAGATGCCCAAGGAGTTCCCCCAGTTTCGGAACATCAACCTTAAGGAGTTTCTGCCGCGCTCTTTTGCCGTCGATGTCTCAGGGAAGGAGCGCGGGGAACTGCAGGCCCTTGGCATCACCATGAAGGAGAAGCGCTATGACTATTTGAAAGCGAGCCTCTTCTACTGCGGAGGTGGCATCGAGGCTATGGCCGGAGTGGCCATTGAGTGTCAGTATATCGAGACGCTTTCGATCTTCGTCTGCAGCTTCAGCAAGCCATTGGCGCTGGTAGACTTTCTTCAGGCCCAAGAGGCGCACAGCGACAACGTGGCTACGTTTCTCAAGGTCTATTGGCCCCAACAGCTTACAACGGTCATCACTGTAGTACTTCGAGCCCTAGGTAAGGGTTGGTTAGACATCTCCCTAAACACCTGGACAGTCTATCTCATGTGCAAAATTTCGCGGTTTATACTACAGGTCAAGTTCCGCATGCAAGAGTCAATGGAGGTGCTGCTGGAGACGTCTCTGCATAACTTCTCACACTTCGTTTGCGATCCGTGCCTACAGTTTCTCCAACTGAAGTCCAACTACAAATGGACCAACAACTACATTGACACTGAATTTCCCTTTCATAAGCCTGTGTTCGCCATGACCCTTGGAATTAGCGAAGATCGCAAGGTCTTTTACTCCACTGATCCAGATGAATTTCAGCCGAGCCTGGTAGAGATTTTTAAGAAGTGTCTGGAAAAAACCGCTGGAGTTAGATGCATAGATGCCGCTGTCATGAGTTTTCTAAAATTCGCCCCTAACCTGTACATCCTGACGGTGGAGCTTATCGAGGAGAGCTTCCTGAGGGAGAATGAGCTTTTGAAGAACTGCTATGGCAAGGCAGTGCTGCCTCTCAAAGCCTACGCCCGACTCTACGAAAGGTTTATTGATTTCTACCTCTTGAATATCAACACCTACATGCAGGCCTATGCTCAGGCCCACAAACCGTCCTCCGAGGTCAAGCGAGACATCCTCGAGCACAAACGGCTGAAGGAGGAGGTCCGCGAAATTTTGCCTGGTTTTATCACGATCGGGCCATTCTATATTAACGTGGACATATTAAAACAGTTTATGATTAAGAAACGCATCGATATCGTTAGGCGGATCTTTGAGTATTATGTTGACCGAATGTATGAGTCGAATGAAGCTCTATTGGATCGCTGCCTGGAGATGTTCCGCAGAATCGCCGAGCGACCTATCAGCATTGAGCACCTCTACGAAATTCGCGACTTTGCATTGACGGTCCCAGACCTGGTGGATGAGCTAAAGGCGGATATACAGGTCATGTGGTTAGAATATGACCTACTAGACAGCTTCTTTTACAACCTGAGTGACCATCAGTTTACCATGAAGTGGAACGTTTACGCCTGGCCGCACCAGATAATGGTGAGATTATCGACGCTGAAAGATGAACAGAAGGTGGATATTGAGGAATTCCTGCGGCTCCACTCCAGCGAATGCCAAGCATTTGAGGAGCGTCTAGAGTCCCTGAACGACGAAGTGCAGGCTTACTCGCTGGCTTTTAATCCTAACCGTGCCCAGGAAACGTCTGTGGATATTAAAAAGACGTGGGCGCTGATCAAAGAACTAGAGAAAGTCAGCCAAACCCTACAATTTCGGCAAGAACTTTTTGAGCTGGAACCACTCTCTGTCGAGTTTCTGGAGAGCATTGTCGAGAGTTTCACCCCTTACAAGAACTTATGGTACGGCTGTGCCAACTTCTTAAAACTCGAGGAAGCCACTTTGGGCAACCCGATAGCTCAGCTAGACCTGGAAGATGTGTGGAATAATATGATGAAACTCCGCGACGAATTAACTGAATCTATGCAAATATTTAATGAAAAAATCGAGATTATGGAGGTGGCCAAGACGTTCATTGGGAAAATTGACGACTTTGTTCCAGTTTACAATAGCATAAGGGACCTTCGAAATGAGAACTGGATGTATATTCACTGGCAAGAACTTAGCCTGGTAACCGGCCAAGAAATCAAGTACACCGTTGCGATGAACTATCAGTACCTCATACGGAAGGGCATCTTAGACTTCCTACCAGAGGTGCACCTTATCTCTGAGAAGGCCAACAACGAGGCGGAGGAAATCTTACGCGCGATGGAGGAGGAAGAGAGGCGGAAGCAGGCCGAGCTCGACGCTCTTTTGTTGCGCAAACAGCTGCGCAAGTGCCGCAGGGACATACTATAGGTTGGTTATACTTAATCTTCGTCGTGTACTGAATATTTGCATTGTTTAACAGATGCATTATAATTGAAAAAGAAAAACTTTATTTGGTACTGCTATACCCTTTTCTCATTGAGAGATAGGGTATATTGTAGTCGTTGACAAGTAAAAGGAAGTATGTGTGTGTTTTCTTTAATAGGATCACTAACCCAGTCGATCTATACCTGTCCATTAAAGAGCTTAGTGGTACTCTGGAGGAGTGAAGCAGTTTATAGCCATTGCTCAGTCCTTTACCAACGACCACAGTTCATAATTATTACACATTATTCATAATAATTACGCTACTACCTGCAGTGTATTATTTCGTGTTTTCCATTCTGGCTCCTCTTCCGTAGGCTGCTTGTATATAATGTGTATTGGGCATGCATTCTTGTTTTAGTAGTACTCTTTATTACACAGACTGCACAATAGCCAAAGATTGATCATATAATATAATAAAGTAAACTTGACTTACTAAATTGTTTTGTATTTTTTAGTGCAATTGAATAAAAATCTTGCACGGCTACAATAAATTGATGCAATTTATACGCAATAAATGTATATAAATAATGTTTTGAAGCCGGTTAAAAATTTTCCTCTAGATTGCTGGTCCTAACTGATTTAAAAACAATTTTAAAATGAATCTTAAGCCTTCCGTTTTGGCTTTTTGCTTTCCATGAGGCTCATAATGGTCTTGCGCAAGTCCTCTGTCTCCTTCTGCTCCATCTCAAGGTGTTCAATTTGATCCTTTCGTTCCTGTAGCTGTGTCTCCAGCACGGAAATTAGGTCTTCAGACTTCTTTCCTGCCTCCCGTTGCTCCTCCAAGGACTTGTGCGTCTTGGCCAGCTCCCTATCGCGCTCTTCTATGGTGCGTAGCTTCTCTTTCATATCCTGCTCGTATGCTACCATGGACTTCTTAAGCTTGTCTATGCGAGAAGTCTGCAAGAGGATTAATTTAAAAAAAGGGTTTTTTTGGAATTTAAATCTCATGTACTTACGTTTTCCTTGTTGAGAGCCTCCATCCTAGTAAGTTCCTCGCTCTTGGCGTTCAGGTTCGTTCTAAGCTCGTCGCAGTCTCTTTGCAGGTCTGCAATCTCCGACTTCTTCACAAGCAATCGACGTTCGTTGGCCTGCAAGTGAACGGAGTTCTCGGACATCTGTTTAAGTAGGTTAGTCATGTTGCTCTTCAGCTCGACTGTCTGTTGCTTGAGATCTTTGCACTGGGATTGCAGACTAATTGATAGAGGTTTCAATAAAATTTAAGTATACTAAGAAAACTTGTACAAATCAATTAATACCAAATGTTCATGGTTCTAACTTCACTCACCGTTCTTGGCTGATGAGCAGCTCAAAGTTGGTAGCTTGGAAACGTTCAAGTTCGGCGCTCTGTACGTGGGCCAGTTGTGTTCCACTGGCTAGTTGCTGTCCGGCCTGCTCCAGGCGCTGTTCCAGGCTAAGCACGGCGCCGTTGAGACTATCGATGCGGTGGTTATACAGCTCTATAACCTGGGATACAGGCGCTGATGCCAGTTCGTTTCGGCGCACGATCCCTCCTATGCTGTCTAGAAGTGCGTTGACACGCTGAGCCATTTCCTTGTCAGTAAATGTGCGGTGGCCTTTTAAAATAGAGCTGAGGTTGCGCCACTGCTCAGCATTGTCGGTGCAGACTACTGAAGTTCCTGCCATCGACCCGCAAGAATCATTCCTGATACCAGCCACGTGCTTTATGAGAAAATATGAAGTCATTCTTTAATTTAGAGCTTATATATATTAAGAGTTCCAAAGATTCTTAAAGGTTTAACAATATGAACTAAAACTATTTTATTGGATTGAAAAGAATAGACTAGGAGAATAATGCTCACCTTGGCTACAGCCGACTTAGGAAAGTCCTCGAACTGGGCAATTTGAAGGACGGCGGCCACCAGCGATTCGCTTTTGCTGACCATCCCGCGAGCCAAGCAGTATTGCAGCTGAGTCTGCTCTAGTAAAGTGCAGCATTTATCCAGGTAGGCCTTCTTTGCGATGCCTGCGACGTTGACAAGAAGAAGCAGGCAAAAGCAAGCCTTTTCCACCTCACTCTGCGCCAGACTCTGTGTGCTGAGAAACTGGGGAACAAGCGCAAGTGGAGCCGCCAAGATTTTGTCGAAGTATGACTCTGATATCTTGGAGAGGACCAGTTTCTCGGTCTTCGGCTCCTGAAGCAGTTGGATCAGTAGGCGTAGAGTGGATAATACTTGCGCGGGCTTTGTTTCCGGTCGCTCGGCGCTGGCCACTATATTGACCACATGCGAAGGATCGCGAGCAACAAGCTGGGCCACTGCCGCCCGTTTGCCCAAGCGCAACAGCATGCAGAGCAACTCAATGGCAGCCACGCCGCACAGATCCGAGGATAGCCACTCGCCAACCATCTCGTACAGGCGCGGCGTAATGGAGTCCAGACTGATTGAGCTGCAGCCGTCCTCAGAAAGCTGCAAAATGTAGCTTACAAGGCGAAAAACCAGGCCCAGGCAAATCTGATGGTGTTTCCGCGTCTCCTCCTGTGAGTCGTCCATGCCGGTGCGAGCGTCAATTTGCTGAAATTAAGGAATCTGTTAGAAATTCTGTCCGCAGAATATAAACGGTAATTTACGTCAAGCAGCTTTTCCACATCCTCGCAGAAGTGTTTGTGTGATACCATTGCCCGATGAAGACCGGCGTGACATTGAGAGTCTAGCAGGAAGTCGACGATGTGCCGCAACTGCGCCACGTTCCAGTGCTTTAGGCAATCCTCGATGCCAGCAAAGGACATGCGCAGAAAGGTGTACAGTTCGGGCAGCTCGAAGGCGTATACATCCTCTGAGAGAATGATGAGCATCTTGTAGGCCAACAGGCCATAATTTTGAATTCTTTTACAGAAGGATGATATGTTGACACTGCGTAGAAAGAGGAACAGCACGGCAAAGTTATTGTAGCATAGGTTTACCAACACTGAGAGAGCGAGCAGGCAATGGGAGTCGTCGTCGACACGAGCAGAACCGCTATTCGTGGCACTAGAGCTGTCTTCTGTCCCGAGCACGATCTCCGCCAGATGCTCGATCAGAGCTGCCAGATAGGGCTCTTCCCAGGCGATGTGAATACCGTATGTGAGGTCCTGTAGCAGCACTAGCAGCCTATGCACCCGCTCCACTCGCCGGGTACGTCGTATTAGCACTCCCAGCAGAGGTACGAAACAGAATTTCTCGACGATCGCGTTCCGAGCCTCCAGATTCCGGCTGCAGTGCTGAACTAGTCCAACGCAGGCCCACAACACATCGCCCTCGGCACCATCATTCTCCAACGCGCCCATTAGGGCGTGCAAATCGACGTAAAAGCGGGCCAGCTCTATGTTTCCTGACGTAGGAGCAAAATGGATCGGATGCACCTTGGTGCCCAGCAAAGCCACGCTGCGCTGTACATAAACTAGCGACTCCTCGGATCGCTGCATCTGGAAGCTAGCCGTCCGCGCCCTGAATTCACGCACATAACCAATAGCCAGAGTGGCACCCGCGTCTTGGAGAGCCTGTGGCGAGTCCTGACCATTGCTGCTGTGGTTGCCGCTAACGGCTGATGTGTGGTTCCGTAGCGTAGCCATAAGGCTCCGTTTCAAACTTAAGTTAAGCCTTGACTTAAAAACAAACAAGCGTCAACCAAAAATAAATTTCGAAAATTAGCGATTGCTTGCCGCTAAACGGATAGATTATATACGGTGATATCGATTGTCAAGTAATTGCAGCCCTGGTCGGTGGGCAAAACCTATTAGTGTCGCGAAATACCACAAAGTATTTAAACTTTATTTGAAACGGTCAAGCGGTTAAAATACTTTTCGATTTTAAGTATATGTAATATTATATTACCTAAAAGTTAAATTAGAATTTGGTCTGTATCTCTATATTTAGTCTAGTGCAACATATGAAAAAAAAGACCTGACCAAGTTTATTATTGAAAGCTAAATCGACTTCTAACTCTGATCACCAGTATATGTATACATTTAACATGCTATTTTATACTTTCCAATGAATGCATTCCTTTATTAGTGTTACCTCTATAAAAGTTACAGTGTTACCAGATCATTTTGGGACTGATTTGTTAGTAAATTTATTACAGTAATAGCGTAAGTTTTTTCACATTTCGCTATCCGGCAACACTTCCAAAGGCATTGGATTTTTTGGTCGCTTAAGAATTTCCATAAAACAAGAATATGGCTGATGACACTAACGAAGACAGCTGGCTCTATGGTACCTCAAATCCGGACTCGACGACCGGCGAGCTTGGCAATGGCGAGGACGCACTGACTGCGGAGCATGAGGCTGCGGCAGAGGCTCAGGCACTGGCCGCTGTGGTAGCCGGTGAGAAGACCGGCTCCTCGACCGGAGTCGAGTCCGACACAGGCTCGCCGCGCTTTCCTAAGGAGGAGGTGGCTGAGTACTCCGAGTTTGACGATCCGGCGGAAGAAATGGAGGAGGATGAGGAGGCCTTACCCGATACCACGGACAGCAGGAGCAGGAGGGAGCGCGATAGAGATAGGGATCGGGATGGTGGACGATTTGCGGATCGGGCCAGTGCCAGATCCTCTGCAGATCCAGAGGACGACGAAATGGCAGATGGCCCAAGCTCCAGAAGGGAGAGAAACGGCTCTGGGTCTGATGAAGACGATGACGATGACTCTGACGACGATATCAACGTGGTCATCGGAGACATTAAGCAAGCCCCCAGCACATACAATATTAAGCAGCGAGCCAATCTCTTGGCCGGAGGTACTGGAGTTGCCGGAGAAAAGGTCAAGCCAGCTGGCCAAGCAGGCAAGTTCAGCATCGAAGACTTTGAGGGCGCCGGGACTATAAACGGGGTGGCCGTGCACGAGTTCAGTATCGATTCGTTGGAGGAGAAGCCGTGGCGCAAGCCGGGAGCAGATATTACGGATTATTTTAACTACGGATTCAACGAGGAAACGTGGAGAGCCTATTGCGAGCGACAGAAACGCTTTCGTGTGGCGGAGAGCGGCGTGGGCCTGGCTAGTCTTACGCAGAACGTAAACCAGAATGCTCCCATTGGAATTCTCACAGACAGTGGCATGGGTCTGGGTCCACCCGGAATGCACACCATCCAGTCCATGGTAGGAATGGGTGGGGAGGCTGGTATGCAGATGCCACCGCTAGGAATGCCGCCGCCAATGATGCAGCATCAGTCGCGATCCGGAATGGGGCTAATGCAACGTCCCCCAAGGCCCATCTCAACAACGGGAGGGGAAAGAGGCGGTGACCGGGAGAGAGGCGTTAAGGAGAACGCGATACAGGTGATGACCGCCGAGTGCCGTGAGTACTCACGTGGGGGCTTGGGACCCATGGCGCCGAATTTCCCGTTACCAGGTGCTTCTGAGGAACCCTTCTTCCACGAGCCAGAACCCTTCGACTATGGCTATGAGCCCACCCAGGAGTCGCAGTGGGGCAGCGACAATGCTGGATGGGTTCCGAGCGGGATCAAGGAACTGACTCCGGGTCACGCCCACATGCAACAACCGCCACCTGGAATGCCACCTCCTGGGATGAGCGTGCCGCCGCCACAGATGGGCGGTCCGCCACCCAATTTACGCGGCATGATGCCGCCAAACATGCGCATGCCACCAAATATGAGTGAGTTGTCGACAATTAGATTTACTTGTATGTAACTAATCCTGGTTATCTCTGGCAGACATGGGGCCGCCACCTGTAATGATGATGGGGGGTAATGGACCACCACAGATGCGAATGGGCATGGCACCGCCACAGCGAATGGGCGTGAGCGGTAAGATCAGGGCAAAACTGTAATATAAATTCGCTTTAAAGTTTAAACATTACGAGTTCATTCTATGAAATATGAGATATGCGGGAGTAAAATGCAACATACAAATTTTTGTTGTTATCATGTTATAATTAGGACTTTAACATTTTAGTTTTGACTATTTCATTTCAGATCGCGGCGGCTACGAGGATGATCGTGACCGAAGACGGCGCGAGAAGGACAAACTCTTAAAAAAAGATCAGGTGGGTTTTGAAAATAAAAAGGAATATATGCGATAATTACCATTTTTTCATACAGTTGCGAAAAGACTTCATAGACATGTTGCGGGAGCGGCATGACATCGAGAGGCACACTAGGTGGTACGACATCAAGAAAAAGTTCGAAGCGGATGCTAGGTACCGTGCCCTTGACTCGTCTTACCGCGAGGAGTACTTTGAGGACTATCTGCACCTGCTAAAGGAGGAGAAGCGCAAAGAGCGCGACCTGAAGGAACGCGAGCGTCATCGCGATAAGGAGAGATCTCGAGACAAGGAAAAAGAAAAGGATAAGGATAAGGAAAAGGAAAAAGAAAAAGATAAAGACAAAGACAAAGATAAAGAAAAGGACAAAGACAAGGATAAAGAAAAAGATAAGGAGAAGGACAAGGAAAAAGAAAGCTCTCGGAGAGAACGCTCCAGGTCCCGCGAAAAGTCCAGTCGTCGCAAGTCCAAGTCACGCGAGAAAGAACGAAGCGATCGGAGCAGCAAGAGCAGCAGCAGCAATACAGCAGGATCCTCCAGTCGCAGTGAGAAGAAAAAATCACATCGCAAGGATAAAGAAGAGGAAGAATAACGTGGGTACTATATGGTAAACGAACGAAATGCAACTGCTTGATTTGCCCACCATATATAATTAAAAAAAGATCCAAGATAAACGAAAACTTTCTAAAATTTTTAATAAAAAAGAGACAAAACGAATGTGGACAACTGTTGGGAGAGATGAAAATGTAGAGTGAAGATAAATACACTTTATGTACTGTATAGATAATCTGAGTGGTCTTATTATTTTTTTAGTTACGCGTTTTGTAAGGATCGGAGCACTTTTTTTGTTCTGAATTGCTACACTAAACCGTTTCTTTTTCCCCATTACCGTTATGGCTACTGAATGTTATAGTATTCTGATACATACTAATATATGTAATACCTGAAATAGGTTCAACTATAATCAGCTTTTACTGCTGAACAAGTATGTAAGTAAGTTACCAAATTACCACATCAAAGACCAATCCAGGTTATATTAAATTTATTAATGAATTTATTTATTTCTTTGTACACCCATTAATTAATGAGTGGTCTCTGTCGGGGCTTAAATACGCACTAAAAATAAAATACTGTTTAAAAAATAAGTGACTGCGGCGGCATATACAGGGCCGTCGTAATGCAAAATAATGGTTTACTCCCAGATGAAGGAACGTGGCAGGAAAGGAACACATTTTATTGATCTGCTGAGTTTTTATGGCCTTAATTGACTAGTAATTGCCCTAAATTTGAGCTCCACTGAATATGAAACCAATAAATACAGGGAAAATAAAAATTTGTTTGAAGCAATCTGATTATTCTTAGAGCTATAATTGGTTACAAAATTTTGTGAGATAGTTTTATTTGGCTCTGAATTATATTCCGCTGGAATTATATAGAGACTACAGTCTAAAAGTATGTATATATTAGAACTGATATTTTATCTCAATGTCCTTTATGTGGATATTTTTAGTATATGTACGACACACACGCACTTGATGAGAGTAGATTACTAGGCTTTCGTAGAGCGGTTACAAAATATATTATATTTCATAGACATGGAGACAAACCCTTATCGGTTTTATGGGGTTTTCCTTATTCATGTAGTTGGTTTTCTTTTAAAAGTAACAACGATTGTCTTTAGAAAACTAAATTCACGTATCCGATGCTTATTTCATAAATACGATTTATAGTTCGCTATATTTATTTATATTCCCACATAATTTACATTTGTTCTAATTATTTCTTTGATTTTTAAAAGGAACATCGTGTACACATATATCTTACTAGGTATATTCCCTTCATGGAGTTTAATTAAAAAACCAGTCGGATATGAACCAAAAATAGGCCGAATTTTCGGATCAGATATATGTAGTTTGATCAACATCATGAAACGCATTTGTTAATAAACAAATAGAAAAATACAAAAGATAAATTTTGCTTTTAATATTATCATATGTTGCTCAAAATAGTAGTATGTGAATGCCTAAGAGTATTCGTTGGAAAGTATTTAAAAAATAGGAGGAAGCGATTCGATAAAGTATATACTACGTAATGAGTAATATATACGAAAACCTTTATTTAAACTAATCATTTAAATTAAAAGAAAATGTTTTTAAGAGTTCCGCAAAGTCTTATCGGAATTTTATTGTAATATAAAAATGATTTGGGTATAAGATTTGGCTAGGGGATTTTGCGTAACGAAGATTGTTCCTATGGATAATGGACAGTGACCTTGGTATTAGTCGCACATAGAATTGCTCACCTTATCTGTACTTTTAGTTTCAGCTAGAACCAAGCTAGCATTCTCTAGGTACTTTACTTTTCACATCACAACATACTCAAATCATTAACATTCCCAGGCTTAGTCTAATCTCTGGGTTTGGGTAAAACGTTGGGGAAATGTAATCCGTTGACAATTTTCACAAAGTTAATTCAAAACTCGGATTTTTAATTACGCACAAAACTACCATTTTAAATACAGTCTTTCAGAGTGATAAATTTAAAAAACCAGTAAAAATAAAAAGTTTTAAATATTTATTAACGTTCTAGAACCACCTTTGCTTGACAAGGGACATACTCTTCTGGAGAGATGTATAAGTCTGTATGACCTTTTACATTATGGTACAGAGGGGGGCTTAACTGACACATTCACACGAGGAGAAAAAACGAAAATTTATTAGAGTAAGGAAAATAGAAGACATTTCCCACTTCCGATACCTCGACAACTCATACAGTCAAACATTCAAACTGGGTTCGTATGAGACTTAAAGCTTTAATCGGCGCCCTTTCCTTAGGACCTTAGATTGTGCCCTACCTGCTCAGCAGCTGCATCACGTTGAGGGTCAGCTCTGGGCCGGAATGGTTGCCATTATTGTTGTTGGCCGACCCATGGGAATGCGAGCTGCTGTTGTTCGTACTATTGCTGCTGTGGGCAAAGATCCCATTCAGTGTCCTGGATGGAGCTGGCGATGTTGGGGCGGATAGCTGGGGCGGAGTCAGGGGCGGCAACGGCGGCGACTGCGCCTCCAGTGTCGAGGGCGGGCTGCGGTTGAGATTACTGTCTAGGCTACTATGGTGCTGTGAGGAGGCCGGCGATAGCGGGATCTCTTCGATCTTCTCCAGATCCTGGGTGATCGAGGCAGAGTTCTGCTTGTGGGCCCTCGTCAACGTTCCCTTGGGACTTCGGGAGGTGTCGTGCAAAAAGGGTATGTCCAACATTGAGCTCTTAACTCCCCCACCACCACCCCCTACCAAGGCGGAGTAAGTGGTGGCCTGCAAGGAGTGCTGGTGGTGTTGCTGCTCTCCCTTCGCCTGCTGGTCGTCTCGATCTAAGCTGAACTGCCGACGCAGCAGGCGACTGGAGCCGGGCTTACTATCGAATCGAGCGGCTCCTCCTCCACAACCACTTCCGGTTCCGACTACGGAAGAGCAGGCGCCGCCGCCCCCCTTTCCGCTTCCCGCTCCGCCCCCCGCATTACCGTAAAGGTACTTTCCATCGTAAAACTGCGTAAGATTACTTTCACTGGGACTGAGGCATTTGTAGTGGTTGTACGGCGAACTGAGGTCCATCATCTCCTCGATCTTTTTGTACAGGCGTGAGCTGGATCCTCCCGTTGAATTTGGCTGCCGATTAAAGCTGTTCGGGTTCAGAAGATTATCCGGTGTCAGTTCTGAGAGCTTCCGCGATTGTGGACTTGTACTGCTTGGGGTCGTCTTTCCCGGTAGCTCAGGACAGAGGGTAGCATTCGGGCTAATTGTGTTGGTGGAATTGGAGTCCAAGGAATATGAGTTGGGTAGATTGGCCCCGGAACCCAAATCCGCGTTCGTAGGTGGCGTTATCTCGACCTTTACCTCTACGGATTCCCCAGCCAGCGATGAACTCTGCGACGAGGAAGGATTCGTACTTGTCCGAGATTTGGTGGCCTGAGCCTTCATGGTTATCGAGTTGCGAATTAATGATTCATCCAAGCTGTGGAGGATTCACAAAATAGTATTACTATAAAGGCAGATAGTAATAGATCTTCAACGTACCCATGCGACTCTCTAACGAAGTGGATGGAATGCAGTTGTTTGGAGTTAAATAGATAAATTATACAGTTTGATCATAATTAGTAATCGATTTATTATAATTGGTAACACCTAGTTATTACAATTATTGGACATTTCACTTTTCCCAACATGCTAGCTCTTGCAGTTCCCGAAATCTCAGCGATCATGCGGACGGAAAGGTAGAAAAGCGGACATGGCTAAATCTAATCGGATATTATTGATTTATATAATGTATAATGTAATGTATATGAAATCCCCATAAAAATAAACATATATTATTATATTCTCACCCAATAGGCGGTGGTGCCGGCAGTGGCTTTTCAAATCCCTTTTTCCCCAGAAGCCAGAAGGTGTTCATCATGCCCTTGCCCTTGATGTCGATGAGGCCTCTTGGTTCGATGGCATAGCCACCACGAGCCTCTAGTCGATCCCTTGTCTCCTGGGACATATGGATTCGCCAGGAGGATCCTACGATATGACGATAGTTCAAGTAAATGTGCGAACATATTTCATTCTGCAATTACCGGTGGACTCCATTCGCGATGCCGTATTCACTGTGTCCCCAAATAAACAGTACCTGGGCATTGTGAGGCCGACCACTCCGGCACAACAGGGACCCGTGTGGAGGCCAATTCTCAGTTGGAGTGGAACTCCGGGTAGATGTTTCACATTGAAGCGACCACTCTGGTGCAGCAGGTCCAAGGCCATAGTAGCTATCTGCTCGGCATGGTCGGGTATTTTCACGGGCAGCCCGCTCACTACCATATAGGCATCGCCAATGGTCTCCACCTGAAAACCATAGTCAACGAATAGTTGTAGTCAGTGCTGGCATCGACTAGTCATGTTTTCGTAAGTAGTACTACAAGACATTTGTTTTGTTTCATTGAAAGGAGCCTCCTACCTTATACACATTGTAGGCATTGATTGTGGCATCGAATATCGTATAGAGATCGTTAAGCAAATCCACAACCTGCACGGGACTGCAATGGGCTGCGATTGTTGTAAAACCAACAATGTCGCTAAAGTATATGGTTACGTCGGAAAATTCTTCGGGGTCGACGGCCAAGCCCATTTTCAGCTTCTCAGCAACCGAACTGTGGAAAGATGACATTTGAATTATATATAAAGTTTTCATTGATTAGTAATGAGATCTCACCTTGGCAACATGCGATTCAGCAGCTGTTCAGTCTTCTTTCGTTCAATGTCTAGTTGTTCGGTGCGTTCCCGGATCAACTCCTCCAGGTTGTTCGAGTACTTCTCTAACATCTGAAACATGGTGTCCACAAAGTTCACCTTGCGTCCATGGTTCAGCATCTTGAAGCGTTCATAAACTCTGTGAAGCGTAAAATATGTAGAAATTCACAAAACTAAAATCGGAACAACTGCGATTATAACTTAACCGTTAACCCTTCACCAGTTTAAAAATAAAAATTCTATAGTGACGATCTACAATGTCTACTTACGAGTTAAAATCGGGACGCATATCGGGCTGCTCAGCCCAGCATTGGCGCATTATATTGATAGCCTCCGGCGGAGCAGCTCCTTTGGAAACGGAGGGCCTTATAAGGGGCGGAGGCTTTTTGATTTTTGCTATTATTTCCTCTGGGGCAAGAGAAAGCATGCAGTATGGCTCTCCTCTCACAACCACTTCCTGCATGATGATTCCGAAAGAGTAGACGTCACCGAGCTGTGTTCCCAACTGAATACGTCCGTGCTGGTGGTGATGGTGGTGGTGCTGCTGTTGATGCTTCATGCTCCGAAGGAGTTCCGGAGCTGTCCACAAGAGTTCCTTGGCACTTCTGGGCCTTGGCGCCAGTCCCTGTGATTCGTAAAATGAGCTTAAGCCGTAGTCGGTGATTTTCAAGACCCATCGTGCATCTACTACGCAGTTCCTGGAAGTCAAAGCCCCATGCACCCTCAAGGGTGAGGTGTGCAGGTAGCGCATACCCCTCACCAGATCGGTGAGTAAGCTCAACCGAAATGACCAGTCCAGTTTAATCTCATCCATGATCAGCACATCCTGCAGCGACCCCCTGGAGCAGTAATCGAAGACCATGGCTGTGCGATTGGGGTCTGACAGCCACCCAATTAGTGGGTTGATGTTTTCATGTCTTAGGCCATGGGCCATAACGAGTAGATCCATCGCTTTGGTGCGCAACTCACTGGAACCGTTCATATGAACCTCCTTTAGCTGCACGAGATCACCATTGTATCGAGCTCTCATGTCCAGATGGGCGGGATTATGTCTGGCCAAGCTGCCCGTGGTGGTGGATGTGCCTTTCCCATTCGTCGTGGCTGTGACTGTTCCAGCTGAACTACCTGGAGCAGCAGCACCTGGTATGACGAATCCAAGATTCTTTAGAGACCCAATAGAGCCTTTGAGGAGATCCGGTTTATCTACTTCGGGGCCACCAAACTCTTGCAACTGCTGCAGCCAACAGCAAAGCATGGCCTCTATGCCCTCATCAACCTAAAATCGAATGGGATATATTTCAAAACCTTTAAGGGAAGATAGGATTGGGTGCTCACCCTTCGAGAGTCTACGGGAAAGACAAAGTCGCTGGCTGAAAGGACTATCTTGTTGGGTCCCTTGGAGAGACGCTTCCTTAAGAAGTAGTTTCTAAACGAGTTGTAATAATAAAAAAAATTATAATATGTTAAAATTTTTAATATTCACAAATCATTTAATTAATTAATTATTAATTAATTCAATACAATCACATTGAGATAAGATTGAGGGTTAACCACAAAAGCCTGAAGTTTCAAATATTTAATCTGTAATAGTAATCAGTAATATGATTAAATTAATTTTATCAATACCTATTGACATTCCAATGGATTTTATACCGCTTACTAGTTGAGTAAAAGGGTATTCTAGATTCGTTGAAAAGTAACAGTACCACCATAAGATGCGCTGGCATCCATAGGTTATACATACTGAATTACATCTTTCTAGCTCTTATAGTTCCCGAGATTTCAGCGATTTTAGTTTTTCGTGATTTGTGGGCGTTAGAGTGGGCGTGGCAGGATGCGGAAGTAATGGACCTCAAGAATCTTCATGGTTAATTTCAACTTTGTATCTGTTATAGTTCCTGATATCTCAGCGTTTTTTTCGGACGGACGGACAGACGGACATGGCTCAATCGACTTCGCTATTGATAAAGAATATGTGTACATTAAAGGGTCGGAAACGCTTCCTTCTATCTGTTACATACTTTTCAACGAATCTAGTATACGCTTTTACTCTACGAGTAACAAGTATAATCATATTCAATAACTGACAGTGACAGTACTCTAACGTTTTTAAAAAAAGTGTGAAATGATGTTCAAATTTGAAAAATAATTGGTAAATAGAATATTAATATTATAGACGACCCCTGGCGTGGCCTGATTTTAAAATAGGTCGAAAATTCTTCGTTCTGCCTGTTATCCACTTTTCAACAAAAATATTATACTCTCCTAATATTGTCTATCACTGAGAGACATTTGGTATATATTTTAGCTTTTTCAACTTCCAGTCCACAACGGCTTAGTGGAAGGTTAAAACTTTAAGGCCTACACTTTTATTAACACTCTGCCGCAACATTCATGCAATATGATCTTTAGCCTTCGACCAATGCAATCTGCACACATTAACCCCCAACCGTTTACGCATTACCCCAAAAAGGTGGACCTTGGGTCATTGCGGTTAGGGCCATAAAAACTTTGCACTATAGCCCACTTAATGGCGCCCAGCAGTTCTCTTTGTCCTGCTTCTGGCAAGAAACTAGATGACTGAGGAGGAGCCTGAAAAACCACAAATTCATGCAGCAATTGTTATGCCAAAAGTTTACCACGTGGACAGAGCCAAGTTGGGTTAAGTGTATTAAGGGGCATTAATGGGCTGTTCGGTGTTTTAAGAAAAAAGCTCTTAGAACACACGTGTTCCGCTTGATAACTAGTAACTTTGTTATCAAAACATAACAGGAGCATAGTAGAGCTTACCATTCTCTGCTCATACCATAATATGCCGGATGTATTAGGAAAGTTAAATCAGCCTGGATAATCGTAAATCAGCTTCTTTTTTCTGAAGACTTTCCCATTTTAAGAAATAAGGAAATTTTTCAATTATAACTATATTTTTAAGTTGGTTTACATAAGCTCATCTGATTATAGCCAAAGCAAATTATTTAATCACATTTATGACTGTTTTTAAAGATAAGCTAAACCGGCTAAGTGAAGAAAGTGATTAGTTACATTAAAACGGGAAAAATCGGCACTGTATGATGAGGTTGTGTAAGTTAATCAGCGACCGTAAATTAAAAATATTTTTAAACTAATTTATTATAACTACATTATGTGTATAAACATATAATATATATTTTCAGTTTTGTTTGAAAACTTATAAACGCTGTTGCTTTAAGCACTTGCTTAGTAGGAATTTTCCGACTTCTATAAGAAGGTTATTAGGCGTATATTTTTCGAATATCACCTTTTCAAATTAAAAAAAACTTTGACGCTGTTTGAGAGTCTGAAGATGAGACTGCATAGACAATAAAATATTCATACCAATATCGGAAAGTTAATTAAAAACTATCAAAAATAATTGAAGGGTAAAGAAAAGGAACCACTATAGTAGCCCGCTCCGGCTTTCAGATGGCCTCTGTTATCGTTAGAGGTTAGAATTAAGCTAAACGTGCAATCTAAACTAACTAGGTCTCATCGTTCTTTGGGCAGATGAACAGACGAGCACAGCTATAGCAGTCGACTTAACTGGTGATCCTGATAAAGAGTGAATGTATATAATATATAATATAATATAATATGGCCAGATATGTATCCTTTAATCTATGACGAATATCATTTTTAATATTAAACGTCTAAAAGTTTACCCAAATAACAACGAACAAGACTTCCGAGTGTATTTAAGTTGTGTCAATCCTCCTTTTTCCAGTTTGTTTTACTCGTTTTTCCGCACACGTGGTCTTTTAGTTTGGTTGGTTTATTTTTTGTGCCGCTTTGTTTCGTGTCGCTCTCGCTAATTAAAACTTCATCAGTTGCATTCATGGTTGACGGGCAAAAAAAATATCCCTGCTCATTGCGGCTTATATTGCCAGACATGTTAACTAGTTTAAATCAAAAAGTTTGGATGCACTTAATGTGGGGTGGGTTGATCAGTGTTCTACAGGATATGTTGGCGGCATGTAATACAGTAAATGATTTGCTTAACCGCACTTGGCGTGTTTTTATATGAATGTCAAATACCAGACAGCTAATATGCAGCTAAAGACACGCTTTGTTGAAGGCAATTAAATAATTAAATGCTTGCTTTAATGGCCCTACTGTTGCGAGTGACTGAATGGAGGGGAGGTGTGAGTTTTGTGGTCGGGTATCGATTTTCCACGCATAATTTCCAATTCATTTCCCTGGGCGTTGACTTGAGCAATGAATATATACTTTTGAGTATATGGCAATAATTGTTCAATATGGTCCGCCATACCTTATCAACTATCTCTCTTAATCTATGGCCTTTACCTTTTTGACACTCTTTAATTAAAGTTACGAAACTAGTCACTTGATTGAGGTACTGAAGTATACACATTTCATATGGGGTATGCTTACTCAAAATAAGAGCAAAGGCTAACAATTACCGTCAGTAATAGTTAGTACGCAGTATGAAATAGTATCAGTTTTCATGCATTCAAACATTCATGCAAGTTTATTTTTTCAATTCAACACTTAACTTTGTTTACTTTTAGCTAAACCTTTTAGAACAGTTATGTTATACATTATGCAGGATGATGCTGAATTAAATAAATGTACAAATTTAATTAAATTTTTGCTCGCAGGGGGAGATGCAGTCCAAACAATCTGCGTGATGGTCGGCTATTCAAAACAATTAGCAAGGAAAAAGGAAATAAAAACTGCGGCTTAAATGGAAATGGCCGTGCCCAGAAATACGGTTTGCCCAATCCAATGATTACTAGGACATTCCCGGGGAAGGGGATTTTTAAAAAGATGGACAAGCTGCAGCTTTTTAGGCTTGCTAATTGATTTGTTAAAAAAAAATGCATAAACAGGCCGGAATTGTAATCAGTTTTTAATTACTAATCAGCCGAAATATTTATGAAGAGTTTCCGAGCCGTCATCTTGAGTTGTACATAAACCTGATTAGTAAGAGTACATCCTAATGCTTAAAGACTCTACTGAGCCAAAGCTATAGGCCTTCCCTAGCCCGAAGTTTCCCACTAGAACATTCAAAGCAAAAGCGAATGTACCTCAAGCGACTCACCTCATGCCAATTCCTGCAGCTACAATGCCCGCCACGATGATGATCAGTAGGGCGACACAGATAACCGCGATGGTCCAGCAGATGGCGCCGCACTGCCACAGGAGGACACTACTGACCAGCAGCCACTCGTCGTAGCCAGGTTGCACGGAGTGGGTAATATAGGAGCCACCCTTGTTGTCCTCTGATTCACTCTGTTCCCTTCCTCTATTGCGCTCCAGGATAAGCAGGGGTCGCCACTTGTAACTGGCCGCCTGCAAGTCCCTAACGATGTCAAGAACCACGAAATCATATTTGGGACCACCTTCCGATGTGCCCGCTTGGTTGGCAGTGGTCACAACCGTATCGTAGAGTTGGAAAAGGTTGCGGTACGGTAAGAGTTTGACCAGGCTGGCATTGCGATGGCCAGTGGGGCGATACTCCGTGTTGTTTCCATTTTTATCGCTTCCGAGGGGCGTGCGAAAATTCTGCATTGCTGCCATCAATCCGGCCGCATTCAGAAAGTGTCGATGTCTATCGCTTAGCAGAGTCAACACCAAAAGATTGCTGCTGACCATTGCGTTCGGGGAACTGGCGTTGGCTCCGAAGTTGCCCCTTTGGGGCCCACTCATCCGTGCCAAATATTTGTAGAATCTATGCTGGGTGTCGAATGAACTGGCCGCCATGTCGATGAGGAGAACTTTGATGTGCTGCCTTTTGGGCCTTGAATCCTTCACCTGCCGTGCCCACTCCTGCTCGATGTTGGTCAGCAGGCTTGTGGTGCTCTCATCGTTCAGCGGAGCAGTGATAACAATTGCTGAAAGTTAGAAAAAGTAAAATTAAATTAACCTTTATCTTAGTTTTTTAATTACTGATCAGCCAAATTTTGATTTAATATTCTTTAAACTATTTACAAAGGCAAACTGCTTCGCAAGACTGTGTTTTGGAATGTATGCACTTTTCAAAATATAGAGTAGAGTGTAGAGGGTCCAGTGACCAGCGGATGTGATATTCACCTTTGCTCGGTTTATCCAGCGAATGCAGGTCACGTATTGTCCTGCCAATTTCGATGCGATACGGCACATGCAAGTTGGCTGCAATGGCCAGTCCTAGACCCCAATTGTCGTCTGAAAAATACAAGCAGAAGGCGGTGGATGTCGAAATTAAATTGCGTTTTTGTGGCACGTAAAGAGCTGGTGTCATGTGCGTTCTGGCTGTTGCACCTCTTTTGGCTCCTACATTCCCTGTGGGGTCATAATGAGCATCTTAATCGCAGTCTTGTCTGCTGTTCTCTTATAAAGTTCTACCCACTGAAAGTGGATATGCACCTGACTTCGCCATAATATAATGGAAACCAGGCACAAAGAATCTAGATCAACTACCCAGAATCATTAATATTTACAGCAAAATAATGTATGGCAAGCCGTCACGACTGTACCTCTCGACTACGCTGTGAATCTGATCACTGATTTGTGAATTAGGGGACTGTAATTGCCTTAGGATAAAATATGTTGTGTCTTCTTTTTTCTTTCTTAAGCTTACAGCAGCAAAATATAAATAAACTAACCATCTTTTAATAAATATTAAAAAATAAAATTATTCAACGAAAGCCACTCTTCCGATAACTTACTTTACAGTAGTCTACCTTAAACTATGCTTATAGTTACGCGAGTTTAGGGTGTATTTATTCTGACATTTTTAGTTTCGATAGCCTTCAGATTTTAACTTCCAACACAATTTCATAACGATTTGAAAATATTTCATAGTGAATAACTAATAGAATTTACAGCGGCAGTTTCGGAATCCAGATTTTTGTGGTTTCTGTGCGGGCTGAATCGCACCTTCGGCCACATCAGTCTTTGCACCCTCGGGAGGTACATCCAGATTTCCCACCTCGGCCATGAAGCCACAGTGCTTTCGCGCTGCTTTGGGGCAGGGACACTTGTCTACACTGGCACCAGCTACTCTGGCATTGAACTCCTCCTCGGTGGTTGGAGGTCTGAGAATGTACTTATTGGGATTGCAGGCCATAATTCGCCAGTTGGGATGCGGAGCAAGGTAGTCGATGCCCTTTTCCAGAATCTCCTTAGCTAATCTCTTGCAGACCACGGGATTATCAACAGCGTCCATTAAGTGACTCTCGAATCTTTTCTCCTCTTCTGCTTGGATACGCTTCATCTCTTTGATTTGTGCATCCAAATCGGCTTTGTACCGTATCTGCCGGCACACAATCATTTCATGAGTGACCTCCGGATGAACAAACCGGTTCTCCATCATTTTGTTCTCCCTAAGTTCAGCATCAGACCGGATTCTGCGTTCGTAGTCCTCGCAGATCTGTTTCCGTAGGATTTCGTAGCACTTCTCCGCAGCCTCCCGCTTTACCCTTACCCTTTCTGTGATATTAACTTTGGTGCACATGTCCAGTTGGTAGAGATCAGCGGTGCGCTCGTCCATCATCTTCTCAATTCCAAGTTCGAGTGCCTGCATGCGGCGTAGGTAGGCCAGGTATTCCAGGGTTGCTCGGTTAAGGTCCTTTTTGGACTGCGCGATTCTGACATAAGCCTCGGCCTCTAGACGTTGCGTCTCCCTGCAGAAAGCAAGGTGGTCGGCCTTCTCCGCTTCCCACTCTGCGAGACGGGCGCACCGCTTTCGATCGATCTCCTTGAGCAGCTCGGCCTGATACGCCAGCTGATCCTGTGGAGCGGGCTGATGTTCCTTTTCGAACTCCTCTAGGCGGATCTCCTCCAAAAGAGCATTTATCACCCGCTCCTCATTCTTTTTCTCAGCCTCCACCTCCTTGCGCTTCTCCTCGTGCTCGGCTACTTGGATGGACAGGACATGATTCACTTGCTCCTGCATCTGATGGCGTCTAAGCTTTTCCTCTGCCTGATTGCAGTCAAACTGGGCCCACCGACGGCGATTTAGCTCCAGCCATTTCAGATCCTGCTGGCAATCACGCCGTTTTTTCCGCTGGTTCTCCAGAATTTGCTCCTCCTGAACAATCTTAGTCTCGACGAGATCCTGTTGCCGCAGTGCCTCCCGAATCTCATAGCAGTCGAGCATGACCTGCTGGACGTGCTTCTCCTCAAGGAACTTTTTCTGCTGCTTGGCCACCTGTTCTTTGATGGCATGCAGATGCTCCTTCCGCTCCTTGATGTCCTGGTCTATCCGGGTCTTCACAGTATTTGAGAACTCCTCTTCATAGCGCTTGTCCTCCTCATCCAACATTTTCTTCAGCCTTTGGCTGCGTTCCTGCAACTCGGCTGCGGCCACCTGCTTCGCCTTGGTCACCAAGAGACCGATCTGCGTGTGCAGACTTTTTCGGTCAGTCCTCGTGATAAAGTTAAAGTGGTCTTCACCGCGTCCGGAGTTTTGCATCTTGTCGAGGCTATCGAGATTAACTTACAAAAAAATGTATATAATGCACGTAGTGCAAATTCTCTAATAATTTCGGGTTCTGCTTCGAGAAAACGGAAATGTCAAGGCACCAAGTACCGATTTTTATTTCGTGAGAATAATTCTCAGATGTCCCGTGACAAACTTATTATTATATATCTCCCAGGATGGGTAGCAAGCTTTAATAATGTAGATAGTCTTTGAAATTCTGAGTCTTTTCGCGGCATCAAATGCCCATTAAAATAGTGTTAACAAGAAAAAAAGTTGATTACTTGGCGACATATTACTATCATAATAAATGAATGAAAATAAATAAAAAATGTCATTCTTTTTTGAGAAAGGGAAAACATATAAAACCTATTATATGCAGAGCTAGTTTGTATTTGTAACGATTTTGTCAAATGAATCACTATGCCCCTCAAATTAATTAGTTATTTATTAAAACCGCTTTTGAATAAATTTAGATTTAATTAACATTTCTTTATTAACTTAATTACCTCCGCAGCTGAAAACTGGCTAATTAAGAAGAATACCAGCTGGAACACCTTGCTGAAATATCTAAATAAAACCTAAATATGTTATGAAGATTGCTTGAGGAAGACTACTTATTTTCAAAATGAGTTATTATGTAAGTTAAGTAAATAAAATTATTTTCTTAAATAATCTTAAAGATTATAATCATATGCTACAGAATATATGTCTATACATTGGAGAATAAGACCCAACTTTTTGGAGACGAGTCACGGGTACACAAAACTCTTTTTATTCGTATATTTTTGGCAAAGTGTATCATGCAACCTTAATGCTGCGATGGAAGCGCGGAGTGGCAGAGTTGGTTCTCCTGCGATTGGCAAGTTCATGTTTGCCCAAGTGCAAAATTGTGCAATTACGCATCGCAGCAGAAACTGGAAGGACGTAGAATACGATGGGGTTGGAAGTGGAGATGGACGCGGAGGCTGAAGCATATCCTGCAATGCCTCAGCGGGAGCCTTAGCCATATGCACTCCGCCTGGGATTTTCTTTTTGTTTCCATCCCGGCAGTGCCGCACTCAAGACAAAGTTATGTGGTTGAATTTTCAGGCAATTTGCATAGTTCCCCTCGAACAATAACAAAATGTCATAACTGCTGCGCAAAGATAACTAATTCGCGTGCGTTGTGTGATAAGCAGTTGCAGCTGCTCTTTTTAACTTGAAATCCTTGGAGCAGAAGTCTGTTAAGTATTACTACACCCGCGATCTTGGTTCTTCTAAGGTTCATTTCACAGCAGTTTCTGCAATGCCCGGTTTTTAAGCACATAGTACGTATGACTAAGGGAAACGCCGTCTTAATGCCAACTCTCAGCTGCATTCACAATCCTATTCCCATTCACATTCACACTTGCAAGGCACTCGCATGCGAACACAGAAGAGTGCTCTTCCAGCGCGTATTTGCATTTGTGCTTTTCATTTTATGCATTTTAATATTCATGCGCTTGACTCAAAATTTAAATTGCGGCGCGTTCGCTCGTAGTTGCTGGCGTATGTGTGATTTCCTACACATGTTCACCTAAAAATAATAATCTTTTCGTTTTTGTTTAATATTTATATTTTTGGAACTAAATGAATCATATCAGATATTTGTGGATTGCTCTTAAATGGCGTCAAATGGTGTGTTTACAAATGAAGAATGCATTTCATTTCCTCATATATATATATACTCAAGAACCCAAAAGCATTACAAGATGGCCAGGAATACATTCATTTTATCAATCGATCAAACTGGTTGACTGACGTTAGCTTTTCCTGACTTGTAAATAAAATAAAATTCCTAATAGAAAGTATTAATTTAATTTTTTAAAAGTCACTGCTTTTGTCATGACCTCAGCTGTGAAAAGTGAGTATGTACAGCGCATCCGAGTGCACTGGATGCTGTTTGTGTGGGTTAGCCAGCGAGTTTGGTCAGTCAAGCGTTGTTATTTACAATCAACTCACCAAAAGTGGTACAAAAAAGAGCAAATAAAAAATGCAACGACCAAAGAGTGAAGAGGAAATGGGAAAGCGGCATTGAATACTTCAAAATACACCAGAAGCCACACAAATTCGTCCTTGCCAAACATCAAATTTTTAGGTGGGTAAATGAAATGAAATGAAATAATCGTGCTGCGCTTTAACCTCAGTTTAGATTATTTCTTGTTTTTTGTTCATTCTGCTTGTTGGCCGCCAGAAAAGACGGAAGTGAAGCAAAAAATGGTAGCTAAAAATACGAAGGTAGATAAATTGGCCAGCGCTATAAAAGAGCGGGAGGATAAATGGTAGCCGGCTGCGGGTCCTTTCTGGAACCGCATTCATTTATCTAAGCCAACGCCTCTTCTTGCTGCACGGAAATGCAACCAACGCATGCCGCATGTGGACAATACATCATTTGCATAGGCATAGGCCGAGAGGATGATGCCCAACGCTTCAATTGTTCGAGTAATTTGTATTGTTATTGCAACCAGGACTCGAAAGCTTAAAAGTTTATAATCGATTGGAAATTACTGAGCTTCAGCCTGGGCAGATCTCACGTAGCAGTCCAAGTTGATCCCCAAGCCGTGGATATTAAATGATCATCATAAACTTGTCCATTCGGCAAAAATAACTTTGAGCTTGCAGATGGTTCCGCACACATGTCCCATCAAACGGCACTCAAGCTAACCCAGAGATACACAAACTTTTTCCTGTAGTGGTTTAGATATTCACACATTACTCGCCAACAGGGGCACATTAATAATAAATCCACAATTTACTCGGCATTCCCGCCCAAAAGATGGGCAACACATTCTTTGTATTTAATTGCGAATTTTCAGGTGTTATCAGCACGGCGTCAGGCGCCATGAAAAACTCAGAACTTTATCATAATTAAGTTAACATTCGTTCGTGGGGTGTTGTTGCTGGGAAAAGTTTTGGCATACTTTGCAGCTGTACTCTTAACAGTTTTCCCCGTTGATGGGGGGCGTGGGAAAACTTGGTGCAGTGTATCGAAATGCAATTAAAGATGCAAATTGCTTTTGTTCGTACACACAATTTACATAATGCGGTCGATAAAATCTTTGGGCGGAAAACTTTCGAAGAGTCCATTGATTGGATCCTTAGTATAGTCATCGTTTTCTTCAACAGTTTCTTCGCTAAGAGCTCAAAGATTCAGACGAGAAAACCTTGGAATAAACATTGCATGAGTTCCTTTTTTGTATCCAAAATCAGCCGAAAAGCTTGTCCAATAAATAAACGGCACATGGCTTTTCTGAAGGTCACCTTTTTATGGTCCTCAACTCCATTAGCTGTCACTTAGGGTAAAACAAATCATAAACATGACAGCACAGTAGCTCCCGTTAATTAGGCTGTCATAAAACCAAATGCTGATGGGCGCTGCCCAAAAGTACGGCCATCCCGGTCCATCAAGTTAATTGTTAAACACTTGAGATTAATGTCTGCTTGCGGATGATGGCCTATTTATAGACAAAGATGCTGCAGCATTATTCATAAAACTGTGTAAAGTCTCAGTAGCACACATGAATGCATAAATCAAGGGAAGTACCTAAGGGCCTCTCCCCACTTTTCTAGCCAAGAGGCTATCCTGGGCCGGAAACTCCCATCTTTCAGCAACCTCCCTTAACTGCTCCTATTATGTGCGTGTCCGTCGTGCGAATTTGACTGGGTCACGTCCTGCAGATTCGTAATAAACTTAATGTGTGCAAGCGGTAGTTGCAGCACAGCTTTTAAGAATATCAAAATATATACATACATATTTGCAAGGAGCAAAGTAAAGATGAGAAAATGTGTTTGCTTACAAAGGTCCTAGCAATTAAAGTCTTAACAAAACGTATATTTATTTGGGAGTGCCCATGCCCAACTGCAAATAATTTTTATGCAGAGTTACAGCTCAAACTACCGTATGTCGTGGTCCAAGTTCTGGAGAACCCTTCAAGTTTCCTTATTTTTTCGTGGATCCAAGGTTCCGTTATAGCACTTTAACGGTTGTCTGGCTGATTTTATTAGCTGGCATTTGCTTCTGCTCTCCTCTCCACTCCTTTCTGCCGCGTTATCCTTTGTTTTTATGGTAGCGATGACATCTAAATTTGCGTAAGGTTCTGGAGTTTTTCGGTCTGGGCTTACTGGTCTCTGCTATGTGGTCTACGTTGCTTTCTATTTTATAGCTTGTTTTTATGCCATTTCTCAGTTGCTCAGCGACTGCCACATAATTTGCACTTTTTACTTTCTTCTGATTTGTTTTGCCACTGGAAAACGCTGAGGAGGAGACAGGTTAACAAACTTAACCAGTTGGGAAATGGCGGCCACTTAAGAATGAGTAATAGAAAAGAAAAAGTTCAATACAGAATTCTCCATTCGAATACTTTTAGTTCGAAATATCGGTCTCGCTGCAAAATGTTTATTGACTTGAATCAGGAAGATAAAAGTAAGATGAAGCCGATTAGAATGTATTCAATAAATTAGTTTGAAAGGCAAGTTAGAATTATTGTAGACATTAAATAAAATAAATGTTCAATTTTTCATTTCACCTTCGACCGCCAAAGCCATCGGTTGTTTTCTTCCGCGAAACGTCACGCAGTGCAGCGGCCAAGCGCAAGCGAAAATCATAACTAAAACAAAACCACAATATAGAAAAAAAGATCTGTTAGATTTCGTGCATAGCAGTGACGATTTCGGCAAGTTTAAGAAAGTTTAACGTTCGTTGACCCCGACGGTCGGATGTACCTAGTCGCTGACTCACTCTTTAAATCAATATCGAGATATCACCTTTCATTGTCAAGAAAACTATTGACAACGCAATCCAAGTTGAGGTCACCAGCTGTAAAAAACAAAGGATGGCAATCTAATAATTAAGGCAAAAAACAAAGTACAAGCCGAAAAACTTTGGAAACTGGAACAAATGCCGACCAACAGGGGGTCCACAACATCAAGATAACAATAACAGAACACTGGAGACTCAATTTCACCAAAGGATTTATCTATTCTAACGACCTGAGGGGAATTGACGAGACTAAGATTCTCGAAAACCTTAAGTCTCAGAAGGTTGAAGCCGTCGATAAGATATACAAATTTGTCTTTGGTGATTTATTCAAAGTGCCCACTACTCAATACCCCAAAAAACCACTTCCCCCTCCATCGCACAGTTCCTTGGTGGAATAAGAAACTAACTCTCCTCAAATGGGATAAATCCATTAAATGGAGTATCCTGAAGTGTAGCAAAGGCAAAAATCAAAAGGACTGTTAGGGACGTAAAAATATCTTCTACACCCCAGGCCTCGACAGAATTTTCTAATACATGATCAAAAACCCATTTAAAAATCCCTGTAAAACTTAGAATAGTCAACGACGTTAACAGAATTCTCTCTTCCCACATCCCCCAATAATTTAAACTTAGCCTTGCCCTTCCCATAGTTAAACCAAGGAGCCCGAAAACAGAATTTCCTCATATAGAGGACGTATTCCATTTTTTAAAATCACTCCTTCTAGAAAAACAGTCACAACTGCGTACCTCTGCCTGGTATCAAGACTTACTCAACCTGTCAAAGACTACCAAACCCCTTAAAAACTCTTCGCTAAACAGAAGAGAACAAATCATCATCACCTGTCTCAGACTAGGACACACATACCTAACATACTCCCACTATCTCGACAGATCAAAGAACAGCTTGTGCTCATTGTGCAACGTCATCACACCATCATATCTTTTGGACCTGCCTCTCCACGCAAAGATCCCTATTCCTCCAAAATCCAGATCCAATCACCACAATAGCTAACCCCACAGATACAAACTCCTTAAACATTCTTAAGTTCCTGGAAAACTCCCGGATCACCTCCCGAATTTAAGTAAATCACATAATTTGTAAATATAGTGTAAATAGTGAGCCCTAGTAATATTTTGTATACTCTATTGCTGATGCTCCTAGCCAAATATTAGCTCTAAGTTTTAACTAATTGTTAGCCTTACATAAATGAATAAATAAATAAAACATGTTCAATTGGCTCATAATAAATATATCTAAAAGGCTTAAATGGGAAAAACAGGCCGGTTGGCACTGATTTCTGTCTTCAATTAATCTGAGCTCAATGGCCAGCGAGGGTCTCTTAAAGGCCTACGTTTGATTACCCCTGTTACTAAATGGGCGGCAGGCGAGGTATTTAAACAGAACGGCACTGGCTGATGGTTCGCCTGATTAGCGCGGCCACCTAATTAAATTTCAAATGCAGCAGTGTCAACTTAATGGCGCTCTGTTTGCCCTTCCCTCCGCCCGACGTGCCCCTGCATTACCAGTGCTTTGCTATCTTTCTGTTCCTGTCAGCGTTTGTGCAAACACTCAGCCAACAGAGCCACACAGCGTTAATCATAATAATGTCACCACTAATTGCATTGCGTATACGCACACGTGTACTGAGAGTTGGCTACAAGCAGCTACCCCCGCTCTTATTCTCGCCCACCCCTTATGCCTGATGACCCCATAATTTGGCATTACGTGGGCGCGAGTCTCGCCATGCCACGTCTTGCTCCCGCCTCCAGCCATCGCTCTTTGAGCTCTCGAGTAACTGTGCTTATTTAACATTTGGCCAACCAGCTTTTACCCTTAAACATAAAACGGGGATTGGGGCAATCGACCGCAGTATCGAAAGTGATGAGGGAGATCTATATAAAAGTGTACTCATAATTGGAATAGCAACAGTGTTGGGGCATGATACTGAGCCTCGGAGAATGGTCATAAGAGCTCAAAGAGAAGTGAGTAAAGTTTTACAAATTATTTATTTCGCCTGTACTAGTAATTATCATAGACTGATAATATACCCGCTACTGTTTTACACAATTTTAAAATATTTATTTAGCTAGTGGATATACACAAAGCTCCGCCTATTGTCAGAGAAAGCATGTTGAGTATATGATAGTGACGCCCATGTGGGGCCTTATAACCTAAATTTCTTCATAAATAGCGAAATAATGTTGCGATTTGAAAAATCTTTGGCTAATCGATAGATATTGACGAAAATATGTTATATAAGGTCAAACTAAGACATACACTATAATATTATGGACGCCACAGTTTTCTTCGGTTTGTGGGCGGTAGAGTGGGCGTGGTTGATGATGATGATAAAAACTCGTGGCAAGTTGCAGTGGCATCACTGGAATACGTATTCTTAAGCACAACTTTCTAGCTCTTATAGTTCCCGAGATTTTTGATTTCAGTGATTTTTGTTTTTCGTGATTTGTGGGCGTGCGAGTTGGCATGGTAGGATGCTGAGATAAACTTGCGCTGCGTAGGGATCTCAAGAATCTTCATGCTTAATCTCAACTTTGTATCTGTTATAGTTCCTGAGATCTCAGAGTTCATACGGTCAGACGGACAGACGGACTGACGGACATGGCTTAATCGACTTCGCTATTGATTCTGATCAAGAATATATATACTTTATAGGGTCGGAATCGCTTCCATCTACGTGTTGTATACTTTTCACCGAATCTATTAGTCTTTAGTCTTTTACTCTAAGAGTACCGGGTATAAAAAGAAAAAATTAATAGTTAAAGGGCAATAAGAAAATGGTTAAAAAGTTGCTTTAAACTTAAGGAAATACGCAAAAGAAAAGAGAACTACTTACCGCCGACGTAGATGTCAACTTGCGACCAGTTCAACTTGGTGGAAATGCTCTGCACGGCTTGGGAAATTGCTTCGAATGATGGAAGGAAATTGCTGGAGATCTGTGAAACAGAGATAAGTTCAATGTTAGACCAGAGATTTGCTGCCAAGTAACTTGCACTAAAGTCGCATAAATGAACAACTAGCAGCTCCATACCCCTGGCAGCTCTATTAACATAACTCCTCAGTGCCCCGACCCCGGATTTCTATTGTGTTTACTCTCTGCCCTGCCGTGTCCTGCCGTGCCTTGCCCTGCTTGCCATCCCACACTTCACAATCACCCTTTGTCTCTGTGGGCTGCAAATGAAAATCTAAACACGAACTCTGGTGCTCAGCTGCCTTGTTTGTTAAAGTGAAACAAATTAAATGCTCGAGCAATTAAAGAATAGAGAGAAGAATGGGCAGGACACCAAGGAGGATGTCCACTTGGCAGCCGACAGTGGGAAAGTCCGTGTGGGGTTTTTCTTGTGACAGGTAAGCTGGAGTGTGGACCTGCTTGGTACTTCAATGTTGTATAGCCTTGTGGATTAAAGGATGTAGGGAGTATGTGAACCTACGACTGGTGCTGCAAACAAAACAACTTTAAGTCTTGAACTTTTGATCTAAAATACTCAACTTAAGAGTAATGATTTTGGTAGATGTCATGATTATTATTAATGCTTTTAATGTTGTTGAATGAAACAGAAGAGTTCTCCCAGTGCATTTGTTTATAGTTTCCCAAATTAACTAATATGCACTAGAAACTATGATTACATGACACCATTTGTTGATGGCGTGTTGTCAGGTCTGAGGCACAGATAAATCCGCAACGTGACCGTAGACAATTCATACACGTTAATCAAAGACTTTGAGAGGTCCATACGCAGACAACCGACTCTAATCAATAATCGCGCCTGACTCCTATGTATTCCAGCCTCTTTCCCTGCGATCCCTCAATCATCACAATCATCGTCGTGCTGGAGCATAAAAGGTCCTTGCTCGTTGGCAGTTGGTGAAAGAAATTCGATTTTCCATTGGCATTGATAAGGGGCTGTTTTGTTGGGGTACGAGTTATTCGGGGGTTCGGTTTAGTCGATTGTGGGAGGGACCTAGCTTTAAGATGCTTTTGTACCTTTTTGACCTTTTTCATCGGACGGCATTTGGTTAGCTTGTTTTTCATCTGTTTAGAGACTCATTTGTCGACTTGATTTGAGTTTGAGTTAAGCAGGACTGCTGCCTGATGTACGGCCGTTTGGCTCCTTCATTATATTGGCAGTCGAAATAAATGGGAAAGCGTTCAAGGAAATACTAGTAGGCAGCTGGACACATACAATTTTCTACAAAATTAAATTTGAGCAGCAACAAGAGAAGCAGCATTATCACCGCCGGAAGCAATCATTGGGGACGGCTTCTAAATTGAAAGGCTCTTCATGATTTTCCACATTTTCTTGTTTTCACTTTCGTTATTTTATTCCGCCAAAATGGACAGATAAATATTGAGCACAATGAGAATTAACTTTTGGCCAAAAGTAGAAGCGAATGGTGGCCATTTTGAAAATAAAAGGAGGACTTCTGGTTTATGGAGCAGTGATTTTTCAAATAAATCCTGACAGAACGCCAGTTAGGAAAACAATGTAAACAAGAAGGAGCGGTGTAGTCGACGACTTTGACTGCAAAATACTCTGTTCTTACATTTAAAAAATAAATGTGCCAGCAACAGATGACTCTTTATAATGGAAAGGCAATATATACTTAAACTTATATAATAATTAAGCCATTACAAATAAAAGAATGGCATAGGGACTCCTTTTACGATCCTTTGGCCATCAATAAGCTGTGCCACATTTCGAAAAACTTTTCCAACCGTGCTAGGGAGAAGGCGGAGATTGTTTCGGTGGCATCGGGGAACTTGGGTAAATGCAGCAAATTGTTAAAACAATTGCAACAATTTGGCATCGAAGTGCATTTCGGATGTCTATTGGCACAACGTGACCGGCCATCGTACACGAAGCATTTACTGGCATTACACCCCTTCGGAAGCCCCTTGTGCCACTTTCCCCTCTAAGCCCCTGGCTGCTAAGAGCACTTGGGAAACTACAGGGCATTGTGGGGATGTTGGACTTCGTTTTAGTTTCATTGTTGGGGCTTTGTTTTATGGCTCGGACAAATTGTTTAACGTCCAATCAATTTAATTAATTTGCCAGGCAGGGGGAAATGCGTATATATTATTTTTGTCAAGCAGGCGGAAAATGAGTTTTCCTTGCGCTTTTCCTTTTCCGTTTGCATGATTTATTTTTTGTTCCTTGGCATTTACTCACAGGTGAATTGCCGATGGCCCTCAGCGGAAATGCTATGCAAAGGAGCCAAGAGCCAGGAGCCAAAAAAAGAATCAACATTAATCACAGCTCAAACATTTGACATTTGCCAGCCTCTTTGGCAGATTCTCAAGCAAGAAGGGGGAGGAAAGATACTGCCGCCTCCCCCTGTGGAGAATCCGATGTTTGGCTTATCCCCATTCAACTCAAGCGACCTCTTTTGTTGCCGCATTTTATATATTTTGCCGTGAATATTATTTGCTGCTTTACAATTCGCTACACATAGCAGCTTTGTAAACTTATTCACATGTTAATAATTTAGTTAGGGGCATGTGCATATCTATTCGAAACATTTCAATTGGTCCTTTGTGGCGACTTCTATATCAGCTTGATGCGGATGAAATTATTTCTGTGGGCTTATTGGATATTCTTCTGTTGACACTGAAAGCCGTTACTATTTAAATAAGTTTTTAGTCCTGGAGAAGAAAGAGTCTTAAGAAGGGAACTTCCATCTTCTGATCCTCTCACCAAATCTTTTCTAAAAACTTTCTCAAAATGATGTCCTCAATCAAATACAGTTCCCTTTAGGACCTCTTGCAGCGGCAGGTGGCATACTTCGGATGTTTATTCATTTTCAATAAGAAATGACCAACAGCTGGCCTTACGAGATAAAAATTAATGGGGGAAATTGCTTCTGTTGTGAGGGCCGTCATTATTATCAATATACAATAACAGAAAGGCAAAACTTCGGAGACGGCCACTTAATTTGCTGTCATTTAACCAAGGATTAATGGCCAGGACATGTGGCTGCAACAAACCCATTAGGACGCCGCAGCAGGAGCAAACGAACGATGAAGTTTTGGGCCTACATCGGACGGTTCTTTTTTCCGGCAACCAGCATTGAGGTGCTATAAGGTTACACAGCACAAGGTGGAGACCTCTGTCTGCCTACAACGGCTGTCATCTTGGCCAACACACACTCAGCCAAACACACGGATGCAAATCGCGCCCGCACGTGCTGCCATTGCCAAATTGTTTCCACTTTTCCCTAAACACATGGCAAATTTATGCACTTTATTCCTGTCTTCAGCTGTCTTAGGCCAAATTGAATACGATTTGAAATGCGGAATGCTTGCTTGATGGATTCTGTTTCGTTTTACTTGCTTCTGCCGGGGAAATTGCTTTTTAATGCCAGGCAACTATTCTGAATGTCCTCACATATGGCCGCACCAATAGCGCCGTTTAGGAACAAGTCTCTTCTCTTTCCGTCTTTGCAACAAGAGGCTTCAGTTACTGAGTAACAGTAACTTGTTATTTTTCCAGTTTTTTTATTTCGGTTTAATAAATTGCTAATAATCGCTATACACTATTAGTCTGCATGAAACGTGGGAAAGAGTTGGAAAATGGGGCCCAAGCCATAAAATATTACGTCTAAATACTTAGCCAAAAGTGCTTCAGCTTAATTCAAAAGTTAATAAATAAGATGTTATACATTTTCAGACACATCTAGTGCTTGAGTTTTGACCTCAGCTGTAATTCGTTCATAACTGAGCCAAACTTATATGTTCTTGGCTTGCATTTGAAATTTATAGTTATGTTTTGGTAAGACGATATAAAAATATTTGACTTTAATGTTGCATTATGTGTCAGCTCAGCCTTTACGAAGTCAAATTATTGTGGCAGCTGAAGACAGTTCATAACATTTTACGACCACAAAGGCAATAAAGATGGAAAGCTGCCAGAATTTGGAGGGCTTGCTTTGGCCACCTGGTGGAGGATTATAAAGTAATTTGACTGCTTGCTAAACCATTTAATTCCTGAAGGCCCTCGTGCCCTGGCACGCTATATTTGACCATTAATCCCTCGACTTTGGGCCACGTATGTGCAGTACTTTGTTGGGCTATCTTTATGAATAATTGAGCGGGACCTAAGTGGCAACCTCTTTGGGCCACGAGCCTTTTATGAGCAAGTCTCTCTCGGCGAAATAAAGGACTCAAAATGTTGGAGAAAGTGTGCGAAGCGAGAGGTTTCTTGCAAAATAAGCATCATTGAATTTATTATGATTTTTATGCAAATTGCTGCATCCCCAAAGGGCGGGCGATGAATGTAATTAATGTGGAAAGCGAGGCGAAAAGGTTTTATGTCCCTGCCACTTAGCCTAACGAAGGGCTGTTACCAGATTGCCTGAAAGGCCACATTAAGCTTTCCCCGATTTTCCTTTTATATATATTTCTATTCCGCTAATTGCCACCTGACATAGCTGGAAATCGGTTTGCCCAAAAGAAGCCGAAGGAAATGGTCACTAAAAACAATATTTGCTGAGTCTTAATGGTAAATGGAACAGCAGATTGGCAAAAATATGCTCAACATATTGCAACGGCTGGGAAGAATTATAACAAAGTAACGTGAATTTTGTTACTTAGCTTATTTTATCTTAAGTTATATTGATGTATAATAAAAGAGAATCCTAAAAGTTAGAAGAAATTTCATTCACCATCATAGCCTTCTTAGATTCTGTAACCCTAAATAATGCAATATTATTGAGTATTTAATTGGGTATATCCAAGACTTAAGACTTCATACCAATTATCTTCATATACAGTCCAGTGGCAAAATTTTAAATTGTTTTCAACGTGACCAATGAAGCCCCATTATAATTGTTTGTCTGCTGCTGCGTGGGTGGCGTCCTAGCCACTTAACTTCCTGCCACAGGTGAATCAAATATTCACCACGGACGCAGGCAGTCACGCGGATTTAAATGAAATCGT